AGACCGTATCCACTATCTACATTGTAATGCCGAATATCTTCACATGTATTATTGAGGCTATTAAGTGTAACTAACTAGCTAAACCTCCGTATGACAAGTCTATGTGATCTCCAAGCCCTCCTGCACCTAGACGTTTTCGCATACATTTGTTTACATGTGTTACAATCACAAGCCAAACGTTCTCGTCTAACCTTTCTCAGATACGGTGGCCTGTAGGGGTACGTCATAAACTAGTACAGTATCATACTGTACATCCTTGTTCCCCTTGTCCGTACGGATACAGCCACAGACCTCGACTGTTCCAGGGGCCAAAACGGCTTTACTCTTTTCATCTACCGTAATCGCTCCGAAGGGTCATTCGATTCAATCACGGTAATTCCCTCACTTTCACTGCCTCTGAAACCCAATCTTCAAATTATAACCCTGGGCACAAGTTCGGATCAACAAACCGCATATCCTGTCTGCGGACCTCTTCCCGTCCGTCCGTTTCTGTACATGCAATCCGTAGATAACGCTGACCAACCAAAACAACGGACCTAAAGCCAAGAACGGTGTATCTTGGCTTGTTTTAGCGCCGTTGTTTGATTGGTGATGTCTTCATTTGTGTCCCGTAGCACTCTTTTCATTTTTTCTCGCTTGCCGCGGATGTTGTTGTGCCTGTTGATCTGGGAAAGGTATCTCGGAATGTGTTATCAGGCTAATACCGAGAAACCCTCAATATTTCTCCGATTCCCTTAATCCTGTGATACTGTCTCAAAATACTGCAATTGTGATTATGATTGTGATGAACCGTCTATTACGGCTATTGTCTCATTCACACGCAGGGTCTAAGGGTCCAAGCCACCAAATTACCGACGTAGCATTCATCTTCTCTCCATCATCACTGTTTCCTCTCTGTGAGTCAGCTTGCAGCGGTCAATGAACACTACATAAACAGGAAACTCCTCCTCTCGTCATCGATCTGTCCAAACTGTACACGACGAGAACATCGTCAAAAGCCTCACGACGTCAGAGGTTACCCTGCGCTTAGACGCTAGTGTGAGTGGGACTGACGAACTGGTCTGGTCTGCAAACAAATTTCTTCCGTGTCGCATTGCATCGCATTGGTGTGAGTGGACCTACAGTTAGTTATTGTACAGTAAACTGCAAACTGACGAAATCAGAACGGACGGGAGGCTTATTCAGACGGTAAGTTACCTAACCTCGCGTGCATGGTTGCTAATGACGGTTCGGTTGCTGGTCCAGACAAAGAGATCGTCACTAGTAAATAGTTATCGTGATTCCGATATGAGCCGATTCAGTCATGATAACAGTAACCTCTTAAGGCTCCCTCTAACCGAGTCAACCAATACTCCGAACAATATGAGAGGCTGTGTTAATTAATTGAAGAGTTATCTCCTGCCTACCCCGCGATAACCAAGGGTCAATCCCAACTGTACCCCGCGAAGCCACCTCCTCCTCCCCCAACCCTGTACCTCACCTACTCAAAACCTCATCCCCATCCTCTAAAGTCCCAACGCCAAATACTACTCTACATAACAAAAAACATGCCACAATGACACTCTTACTCTCTCATAGCACACATAATACCACTCTCTCATTCACAGCACGCACAACTTCCCCAGATCACAGCACATCGAACCCCATATTCCCCCCCGCAAACTAACTCCACCTCGTTGAGTCTCACCATCTTCCTGTCTTACTCCTAATTAGGAAATACCCTTTGGCGGAGTAATACATGTGAGATTGCGGGACATGCAGCATTGTCATTGAGGGTTGGACAGGTACTGTACTTGATCAAATATAGGTTAGATGCGGAATCTCCTCAAGTGTACAGGTAAGCGCGGTTACAACAGTAGGTTAGCCTCAAAAGTACAGGTTAGAGCGCTTCATGTTCCCCAGCCGATAAGGCAGTCCATCACATAAGGCTCTTCAAGTTCCCGGCATACGTATACGTGAAACACTGCCTCACTACCCAAGCTACCTCCTACTGCCTTACGAATACTACATCCTATCACTTGCATACCTCGGCGCTATTACACGTGTTGGCTCCCTCCCAATAACACCAATAGTCAATGTAGACAAAGTCCAGGTGTTGCGATAAGATCCCGCTGATGCGAGAAATCGCGCAGATACTCTACTCTGCATGCGGCGTATTGCAACTTCTCCAATTGCCATCTTGAGAACACCTTGTAATCTTGAGCATTCAAGTTCGGATATTGGCCGTGAATAATCGACAATGGTCTCGACTACATGCACTTCACAACCCCAATTCAGACTCATACACACTTCACGGACTCGTGCACTTCAAACACAGGTATACAAACTGTCATGCTATTTTAATCATTACCAACATCATACCATTAATTACCCCTTTTAGTTCTGTCCATACTTCTTGAAAGCACCGATGAGACCACCAGTAGAAGCGTCGTGTCCATCACCGTTACCAGCCTCATCAAGCTCCTTGAGAATCTTCTTGGCAAGAACCTTGCCCAGCTCAACACCCCACTGGTCAAAGCTGTTGATGTCCCAGATAGCTCCCTCGGTGAAGGTGAGGTGCTCGTAGTAGACGATCAAAGCACCCAACTCGGCAGGGCCAATGGCACCTCCGACAAGAATAGAGGTTGTAGGTCGGTTACCCAAGAATCGCTTGTGAGGGACAAGTTCCTCAGGAGCACCCTCAGCACGAACCTGCTCGTCGGTCTTGCCGACCATGAGAGCCTCAGCTTGGGCAAAGTAGTTGGATGCAAGCATCTTCTGGTGAAGGTTGTCGCTGACGGGGTTGTGGGACTTGGCAGCCAAGATGAAGTCGGTGGGGATTAGCTTGGTACCTTGGTGAACAAGCTGGAAGAAGGAGTGCTGAGCGTTGGTGCAAGGCTCTCCGAAAAGGATGGGGCCTGAATTGTTAGCTTGTTATTCACAGCGGATAATGATAACTTACCAGTGGTGTACTTGGCAGAAGAGCCATCAGAAGTGATGGTCTTGCCGTTGGACTCCATGGAGAGTTGCTGGAGGTAGGCAGGGAATCGGTGGAGGTATTGATCGAAGCTGTGACTGTTAGCATTGTACTGACCATCAACGAGACTCTACTTACGGAGCAACCAGGTGAGTTTGGGCCTGGAAAAAGTCAGAGTACCACACACTCAAAAGACCACCAAGAACAGGAATGTTGTCCTTGAGAGGAGTCTCTCGGAAGTGCTTGTCCATGGCATGAGCACCACTCAAAAACTTGTGGAAGTTGTCAAAGCCAATGTAAAGAGCAATGCTCAGACCAATGGCACTCCAGACAGAGTAACGACCACCAACCCAGCTCTCAAAGCCAAACATGTTCTTGCTGTCGATACCAAACTTGGTAACCTCCTCCTCGTTGGTGGAGAGGGCAACAAAGTGCTTGGCAATCTCGCCCTTGTTGTCGGTCTTTTCGAGGAACCAAGTCTTGGCCGTGTTGGCGTTGGTGGTGGTCTCGGCGGTGGTAAAGGTCTTTGAAGCGATGAGGAAGAGAGTGGTCTCGGGGTCAGAGTCCTTGAGGGCTTCGGCGATGTGTGTGCCGTCAATGTTGGAGACGAAGTGAAGCTTCATGTCGTCAGCACCGTAGTGCTTGAGAGCCTCGGTGACCATGACGGGGCCACTACATTTGTTAGCTAGGTCACTCAATAGATGCAAATCACATACAGATCAGAACCACCAATACCAATGTTGATAATGGTAGTCAACTTCTTTCCAGTGTATCCCTTCCACTCTCCACTTCGAACCTGCTCAGAAAACTCCTTCATGTGGTTCAGAACATCATTGACACCACCCTGAGTGTTCATGACATCAACACCATCAACCTTCATATCCCAACCACCAACGTTTCGGAGAGCAGTGTGGTAAACGGCGCGGTCCTCAGTAAAGTTGATCTTTTCACCAGCAAACATGGCATCGCGCTTCTTCTCAACGCCAGCCTGCTCAGCAAGCTTGACGAGAAGATCAAGAGTCTCATCGGTGAGGAAGTTTTTGGAGAAGTCGAAAAGGATCTCGGAGCTGACACCGCCGGACTCGAAAGTGCGGGTAAATCGGTCGAAGCGCTGAGGGTCAGAAGCAAAAGCTTCCTTGAGGACGAAGGACTTGCCGACGCTGTCGCGGTGCGACTGGAGGTCAGACCAGGCGGGGAGGGTGTTTGCGGGGGCCATTTTGGTGATGTTTAAATATAATGGTAGGGAGATGGAGGGAGAGAAGAGATGAAAAGAAGAGGGGAATGAGGTTGTCTTGTATTTTGCTTCAGATCAGGACCTCATACCTAAGCTGTTCCATGAGTGGAGGGGAAGGAAAGCACGGGCGGGGTGGGGGCATCATCCCACCAAATGGAAGCTTCAAGTCAATTGATGCTGTCATGATACGACAAATGATATGACAGACAACTTCTAGTACTGACAATTAATTAATCCCTCTTTTTGACTATCCTCAGATTGATACCAAGTTAATAAATAATTGACTCCCATCTCTTGCAGTACCCAGACCCTCAGGTAAAGCTCAACTATAACCCCTCCAATGACAACATCCCTCTACGCCATGCTTACTAGCATCCATGCTTCAAAGCTCCAGCTATCAAACAGCCCCGCCAACAAGCTTCACTTTTTTTTTTCTTACTGCCGATTTCTAATTAGTTAACTGCCAAATTCAATTTTTTACTGATAAACTTCTAATCATCAAGGTTATGCTGACTGAACTTTTCTTGTTCTTTCGTCATGTCTCCATAATCAAACAGCTGCGTCATCGTGTCCAACTTCCGGTTATGCCGGACAGACGCCGTAGTTGTCCCGCATCAGCTCCGGACATGTTATCGGAGAAGAAATAGCCTGAAAGTAGAGACATTATTGACTGACACACCGCGGTGACTGCCCCCAACGTTTTCGGCGAGATTAGCGACATCGTGAGATGTAAAAATGCCTCAGGAAACCGTTTCTCACGATACGAGTGAGGTACATATTCACGCATAAGCACAGCTGTTTCTATAAAAAGCCTGTGTGGCCGAGTGGTTAAGGCGGTAGTTTTAAGTTCTCCTTACTTAAAACACTACTACAGTGATGTTCGCGAGTTCGAATCTCGTCGCAGGCAAATGATGATTTTCTTTTGCTTCATCGTTCTTTTTGTTCTTTTGCTTTTGCTTTGTGTTACTGGAGTTACTGAACTGGTTGTTGAGTGGAGATGGTGGTGGTTTAGGTGAGTGGGCCAAAAATGGTAGATGGGGGATGCTCGGGATGACTCTGGATGGGTTCAGTAGGTTTGCGAATATCCTCTTTGAATGGGTATGTCGTTGTGAAAAGCCAGATGGCTTCAAAAGATGGGCACTGTGTTTGTCGCTTTAGAAGGAACAGAGCATGCTTTGTAACCAAGACAGCCATCTCACAATCGGTCCAAGATTAATCATTGTATCAACACCTACACCAAACACAGTCAATCTAACCTCACATCACATCCCATACTCAACTATATATCACTCAATTGCCAATCACAATGTTATAAACGTCAATGTTCTTTTCATTATACTCATTGATGCCATAGCAACCCTGACGAAATGACCAAACCTTTTCTACACCATCTAAGCACCCTGCTTATAAAACACGCACATATTCCTTACTCATCATCCTCCTCAGACTCCTCATCCTCGACCTCAGGTTCAGAAACAGCCTCCTCCTTCTTTCCATTAACAGCTGTTGTCTCGGTAGCAGCACCACCCTCCTTCTCGAGTTGCAGCCACTCATCCCACTCAGGGAAGAGATCCTCGTCTTCACCGGGGACACCGATCAGCTTGGCTACTCTAGCCTTCTTGTTCTTCTCGAGATTCTCCTTCCACTGGTTAACTACCGGCACGGTGAGACTGGGCTGGTAGGTTTGGCTGAAGAGCACTGCTTCGGGGAGACGGCCTGTTTCGGTAAGGATCTTTGTGCAGGCCTCGACGTTGCCGAGGAGCCATTGGCATTGGAATGCGACGTTGTGAGATCCAGCCTCTTGGGCTTGGGCGGCCAGGGCTTCCAAACCATCTCGGTCGCCTGTTGATGAGTGCAGAAGCAGCAAAGATCCGAGATCCTTGGCGTGAGTAAAGCACTCAGCAGCAAGAGTGACGTCCCAAGCTGATAGAGCAGCGTCACCAACAGTCTTCCACTTGTGATCAGCATTAGCCTCACGAGCGAGATCCAGAGCAATAGCAAGCTCATTCAATGCTAGGGCAAGATCAAACTTGTGCTCAGGATCTGTGGCGACCTCCAACGCAAGCTCCTTGTGACCTTGTCCTTCCAAGAATCGAGCAATCTTGTTGAGCTGGTCGTTGGGAATGGTTGGTAGGAGTTCAGCGGCTGTCTCCATATCCTCTCGGAGAACAAGAGTCTGGTACTCGAGAACTGGGAGGGAAAGGCCGAAAGAAGTAACGTTGACATCCTTGTCGGCAAGGTAAATTCGGGAGTCGCGCTGAATGTAACCCAGGATGTACTGAGCCTTGTCGAAGTGGGAGATGGTGTAGGTTTGATCACCGACGAGGTAGTTGAGTCGGTTGGTGCTGTTGGTGTAGATGAAGCAGTCGCCGATCCATTCACCGGTTCGTACACTATTTTGTTAGCAGAGAATAATTGGGGGGTTCGGGGTACATACGACTCGCTGATGTCTGTGATAACCTCAAAGGCAGCCTCGACACCATCCTCCTCAACTTGTCCAGACTGAACAGCCTCAACGTAGTTCTCACGAGAGAATCGGAGAACGTAGTAAGTATCCTCACAAGCAATCGTGACAAGCTCTCCGCTATCGGACCAGTAAACCTCCTTGGGCTCGACTTCAATTCTTCGGACAAGACCACCAGTAGCCCAGTCAAAGAATGAAACACCACCTTGTCCAGTAACACCGAGAAGAATACCACCGTGGAGCTTCTCAGCCTGGAAACCAACATCGAGACCACCAGGCTTTTCAACAAAGTTCTTGAAGATCTTGACGCTCATGGCAGACTCTCGAATGGCAAAGTCATTGCTGTTCTCCTTGGAAGCCCAGACAAAGTCGAGTGCTGAACCGAAAGCCTTGTTACGCCATGCAAGGGCAGTGTAGATGATGTATTCGCCATCACCACACACGGAAACGAATCGACCGTTGGGAGAGTGGATGAGTGTCTGAGGGTAGACTTCGCAAGTGCCGAGATCCTTGACGGGGAGAGAGATGGGCTCGTTATCCTTAATAGAGGCGTCTATAAACGATTTTAGCGTAGTTCAAGTCAGGGGTATCAACATGTCAGGCTTATGTCAGAGATGTCAAGTACTCACCTCCTCCCTTGATAATAGAAGAGACAACCTCGTTGTGTCGAGCCCAGATGAGCTTGCCAGATGTATCCATAGACACAGCAGGCTCCTCACGACCAAGCTTGACAACAACAGCACCATCATCAAAACCAACAGCAACACCCTGCTTGCCCTTTTGATACGAAACACACCAAGCTCGCTCCAGACTGTAGTTGAGAGATTGCTCGAATCGGTAGGTGTTGGCGTGCCATATTCTTATCGTACCGTCCTCGGAACCGGAAATGATGACTGGCAATTCGGGATGGTAACAAGCGAAAGAGACATTGTTGGTGTGTCCTTCAAGGGTGGCGATCAGGGACTTTGTGGTGTAATCCCAAATCTTGACGGTTCGGTCGTCGGAAGTGGTAAGGAGGTAGGGCTTGTCAGAGTGAGGGTAGTAGTCGACATGGTTAACACCCTTTGTCTCGTGAGCCTCGAGGGTGAAGTTGGGAGTAGAAGATCCAAGACTCCAGATCTTGACAGTTCTGTCAAGACAAGCTGAAGCAAAGGTGTTTGTGTCCTTGGGGTTGATGGCAAGACCCATGACATAGTGACCATGACCCTCAAAGACTTGTACACACTTCCATCCCTTCTCCCAATCCCAGAGCTTGATGGTCATGTCATCGGAGGCAGTCAGCACGAAAGGCTGTGTGGGGTGGACTGCAATCGCTCGAATGTAATCGGGGTGCGCCTCGAAAGAGGTGATCTTTTCGGAGGTGTTGTAGTTGTAGACTCGTAGTTGGAAGTCATCGGAACCGCAGACAATCCAATTTTTTCTGGCGATGAATCGACCGGCGCGAACAGGGACATCGGTGAGCTCAAAGGTCTTGACGATCTGTTGGGTTTCGTGGGACCAGATGTAGACGTGGCCTGAGTTCAATTGTTAGTCGGGTAACACCTCGCTGAGAAGGAGACATACCGCTGTAGAGGGTTGTGAGAATCCATGGCTCGTGAGGGTGAAAGTCAATGCCCTTGACTCGCTCACTGCGAGCATAGAGCTGGCGCTGTTGCGAAACGTGTCAGCTCAGGTCGCATATTCAAGCTTGAAGCTATCCGGGTATCGCTTTCCACAGCACATCATAACACCAATGCTGATGGCCGACAAAAGCGCCCGCAAATCTTCACTAACCTTGACGTCTAACTTCATCTTGTGGTATGTCGTCGCTGTCGCGTTGCGCAGAGTTGAAGTTGCAAGCTGTCCAGCAAGGGCGGTGATATCTAAGGTAGTGGGGTCAACGGCAGGAATCCCTGGAGGAGTCTACCATGCGGGACGTGGTCACAAATAAAAAGAGTCGATAGGGAAAAGAACAGAAATACAGTGTAGAGTCAAAACGCTAATCATCAATCGTGTCGATTTTGAATTGACAATGTGGCTTGAGCTCTTGAATTTGGAGCTCCCCAAAATGTAAAGTATCCTGCCAGCCTGGCCATCCCATTGAATTGAATGGCCATGTGTTGTTGTGGCCTGAATTGTAAGGTTTCACCTCCTTATCCCTTATCGCAGGGATGATCCAGAAAAGGGGGGTTATAGGGTAGGGAGAGTGAGAAGAACAATTAGTTGTTGGTTTTTCTTCATGTAATTATTTTACTACTATTTCTGATGTCTCTGGTGCTTGTTATTCTTTTGGTAGAATTGTCAATCACTGTACTTGGCTGTGGTGTTCAGCATAATTAAGCTCCTATCATCTGCCACTGTAATCGAACCTCATGAAGCTTGGTCTTGAACATTTCCATGGATCTCAAACAAGTTTCGTAGTGGACCAGATCTCAACCCCTTATGCACAATTGATCTAAATCTGGTAATTCACTCTGGTCACTTCATGATATCCCCCAATTGTTCCCATTCGACACGCGTCGCCAAAAGTGTGGCTGTACAAGAGATCCAAGTACATACTAATTACAGTACACCCTCAATTGGGCTCTGGATTGGGCAGACTTCAAGTCTTGACATCAAACAGTGCACACAAAAACTAGCCTCCCCATCTCATTTACCCCTTATACTCATAGACTGCCAACTGGAAACTGCTTAAGATCAACAAAGCTAGAGCCCGCGTAGTAGGTAGCTTTTGACAGCCCAGACCATAATTCCCCACAGTTAAAAGCTCCTGTGTTGCAGACTGAGACACTGTGCTTACAGCACTTCAACAGCGTTACAAGGTCACTACCTCACAGTGCATATGCCCCCTGGAATAGCTATCATCCCAGGTCCACGGTCCACCGCCACGGCACGGCTCCCCTTCTTTCCATCCCCGTTCAACTACTTCGTCTTGGTGCCTTTTGCTTCGCCTCCTCCTCATACCTGAACCTCCAACCCTCTCAATCTTCTTTTCCCTCATCTTGCCTTCGATCTCTTTCCTTTCAGATCGTCGGCGCAAAACAGAATTTGCTCCTTTTTCCTTTTCGACTCGCGAAACCTTTCGACTAAAAGCGGCCGGTCTACGCTCTCTCTCTCCACGTTTATATGCGGGGTTACAAATCATCCACTTGAATCCTTCTAACCATCAGCCTTTTTGCTTGATCAGGAGTTTGTCAGCGAGCGCACGTCTTGGGAGATCATCTCTGCGATTACACTTCTAGTCGACTGCACCTTTCGGATACATCGTCAACAGTCGCAGCCATGTCTTGGAAGCTTACCAAGAGTATGTTTACATTTCAAGGTCTATCGGTCGCATGCTAACAACCATCAGAGTTAAAGGAAACCCATCTGGGTCAGACCTTGAGTCCATTCTCTCGATCACCGTCTACTTCTACAATCACCGACAAGGAGAAGGAAGCTCAAGCCAGCGGTGCCGTCACTCC